GGAAATCTATCTGCAACACCAAAGACATGGATTATTTAGTCAAGAGCCTAAACCCCACAGCAATGTCCCACATGAGTCCAGATAAAAACCCAGAGCTCAGGACAGTGCCTCCCATGAATCCAACTGAAGGTCCAGAGCCCACAAGAAGGACTCACGCCAGTCTCTTTTACGGATCCATGCCAGGAAGACCCAAACGTCAGCGGTGGAAGCCAGAAAGTCCATGCCAGCAGGATGAAGGAGCTGTGCTAGTGGGATGAGGGTTCTATGCTGGAGCCGAGAAGTAACACTCACAACAAAGACCAGGGCTATCCTGAACAGCTGTTTTCAGCGACATGGAGGCCCCGAGCTCCTCTGACAGCAAGCACAGTCAGGTACATGCCAGGAAGCAGCGTGACGAGTTCATCCTGGAGACCAAGCAGCACATGTCTTCCCCTCTGGAGCCAGGAAGCAATGCTAGATGTGAGGACCAAAGCTTCTCCAGGAGAACCAACAGCTCAGACAGCAACTCGTAGGAGAACCCACAATGCCTCCTTAATGCCTCAACCCTTGAACACCTCCCTTCTTCTCCACCTATTTATCCTGGCAACTTTCCTCAGGTGGAGCATCTTTACTCAGTGCCATGCTGATGTAATCCAGCTGGCATTAAGTTGATCACCAGTTCTTAACCCGTAACAGCCCCTAACTCCAGTCTCCAGTACCACAAAATACAAAGTTGTAGACTATGAAATAAAAGGTATCCAAGAGATAAACAGAATACTCTGTCGAAGACAAGCAATGAAGAAAATCAATGTATAGATAATAGGAATTCCAGAAGAAGAAAACCATATCAAAGGAACTGAGGAAATACTAAAATCTTTCCTGAAAGTAGAAGATATATAGTTGGAACCACATATTGAGAGAGCATGCTGTATGCCTGAAAATATCAACAAACAAAAATTAACACTGTACATTTTCTAGTTAAGTAACTAATTCTTATGGGAACCAAAAGAGAAGAATATCCATTGCATTTCAAGGCAAAAGAAGCAAGCAACTGGTATGGAAAAACATTAATTATCATTAGGTTTTTAGTAAGATATTTAAACTGTTTGGGGAAAGAAGTTATGTGCCAAGAGTTTATGTCTTATAAAATGCTGACTTTAAAGAAGAAGGACACAGATGCTCTGCTATCTACATGCAGGATTCAGGGAATATGGTTCCAGCCCTTTCTAAGGCATGAAATTCAGACTTCTTCAGTGGAGGGACATCTTCTCAAGGGTGGGGGAAAACATTCATTCACTTTCTGGAGGAGCCAAGACTAAATGAGGATGAAAGGGCCTGGATAGTCTGTGTAACTGCTATATGCTCAGATAACAGGGATCCAAGATTTAAATTGGTGGAGAAACAGGAAATGCATATGCAAAGAATTGTTTCAGTTGTTCTCAATAGTTATGGAATATGCCAGTGATGATAGTATTAGGGCTGATAATCTGACATTGGTATGTGTCTAAGGAGAAATAGGTAAATCAGTAAGCACTGGACATTTTAATTTGATCAATCAACCTGTCCTTGGAAATTATGACTACAGAAAAGTGACACAGATACAATATTGAAGAGATTTTTAAACATTCTATAGATAGTTGCATGTTTGAACTTGATGTGTCAGTATGAGTTCATTGGATACTGTTATACTTTAGAATTAGAATCCACTCTCCAATCTCATGTGTTCAGAGGTTGGATTATGGAAGATGATTGGATTATGGAGGCACTATACTCATCGGTAAGTTGACCACATTGATGAGTTCATGGCTAAACCTGCTGTTAGGAGATGGGGTCTTGTCAGAGGCAGTGGGTCACTGGGGACATACTTTTGGAGAATTTATCTCTTTCTGCAGTTCCACCTTTCTTTCTCTGCTCCCTGGCTTCTATGAGTTGACCCTTCTACTGTAATGTTTCTTCCCCATAGGCAGCCAACCATGGACTAAATCCCTATACTGTGAGCCAAATCAACCTCTCCCCCTATAAATTGTGAGTGTCAAATATTATGTTCCTGCAAAGAAATCTAACTAATGCAGATATTTTATCTTAAAAATTTTTACCTGTAAATGTATATACATGTATTTCACTGCTCATAAAGAAGACCTAGAGAGAATGACAAATCAGTAGCAACAAGCATCCTTAAGCACTCAGATGGTCACCTTGAAATAGTATTTCTCACTAAAAGAAACCAGGGTTTCTAGGAGAAATGACTGATGGGACTCGAAAAATACAAATCAGGGCTGGTACACCTTGCTACTTCAGTTTCTGAGGGTTCCTGTTCAAGGCCACAGCCACATAGGACTCAAACTAAGGAGTCTCTCAAAGATGGGGTCATTGGAACATCAAGAGAATAGTAACGGCAGCCCACCAAAGCTCCTTCTGTATGCTTAAATTCATGAGTTCATTCATGTTTAGAAAACCAGTTGATTATTTTGGAATGATGATAAAAAATCTATTAAATAAAAAGTGATAAACTGGAATATTCTAATTTTGTACCTCCCAATAATTTAATAAATGTTATCACTGAGCACCAATAGCAGGTAAAAACCAGAGAGGGAGAGAGGGAGAGAGAGATTATATAATCTTGTCAAAGTAATTATACAAGTTTAAACAAGGATCTGGATCCAGCTATTAATGTTCAGGAAATATAGAGCAAAGAACGTCACTTATACCATGAGGATGTAATCAGCACTGTCTAGACTGTGGACTGTGAGCAACTCTGCAGGTCAAACTCCATAGCTAAACTATATAGAAAAGAGGAGGATATAAAAGAAAGTTCTATATTAAAATAGATTTAAAAGCACATTGAAATTGCAAAAACTGGGTGAGACTGGTATCTAGGGATGTTCACCACGAGGGTGGTAAAAATATAAAGTGCACATAAGAAATTATCATAAAATTCAAGACATTCTTCAATTGGGGTGGGGCTCAGAGAGGCCTGTGATAGCATAGGGCATGTGGACCTTCAGGGGAGACCACTTGTCTGTTATTTCTTGACTTGGGCTATGTTTCCAAGAATGTTCACATTTTAATAGCTTTATGGTTTTCTACATTTGTTTTGCCCATAAAAGGCTAAAGGCATCACTGATGAAACAAAATGATATAGTTTATGGATTTATACAATTTGTACACAATTTGACAAGAGCAATAGTCATTAAATTCAAGTGAGTTATTCCTTATAGGGAAGAGGAAGGGAAATGGAGCTTCGGTAAAAAAAATCAAAAATGTCTTAAATTTATATGCTATGTTTTACTTTCCTAAAAGAAAGGTTTGATGTAAATATGTTAAAATCTTAACAATGGGTCGATCTGAAATGTTGTAAACACAAGTGCTTGCATATGATCTTGTTTTAGTCTTTTTTAATTTAAAAATGAAAAATGAATAAAAACAGTGATAAAAAATTTCAAAACAAAATTAACAATGGTTCATATATTGTGTATAGTTATCTTCAAAATAGTTGACAGATTACAAGGCATAGGCATGAAAAAATAGACAATGAAAGCACAAACCAATCTTTTTGATGAAAGACATTAGTAGTATAGTTATCTATCTTGTGTATGTGTGTGTGATCTTTTTCCTTCTTTATTTTCCCCTTTCCCCTATCCCAGTTGTTTGCTCCTTTTGAGTGGTTTCTTTCTCTTTTACAATATCTATTGTACATTTTGGATTTTATTTACTCTTTCAATTTTTTGTACTGGGGAGACAATACTATATTCACACATGTGAATCTGGTTTATTTCACTTATGAGTATGGTCTCAAGTTGCATCCATTTACCTATAAAAGCCTTGAGTTTATCCTTCTTTATAGCTGATAAGACTCCATTGCATAAAAATAGCACGTTTTTTATCCATTCCATGATTGATGGGTATTTGGATTGTTTCCAAGATTTAGCTGTTAAAAATTGTGCTGCTATAAACATGGGTGCACACGAATGGGACCTCAAGTCCTAATTTTTTGAAGTCTCCACACTGATTTCCTCAATGGTGGCTCAATCTATGTATACTCCCATCAATAATGAAGAAGCATTCCTTTTTCCCAACAGCCTCTCCAGCAGTTGTTATTGACTGATTTCATGATGTTGGCCATTCTTTCTGGAGTGAGATGGAATCTTGGTGTTAATTTTCATTTCTCAATTGACCAGTGATGTTGAACATTTTTTTTCATACATTTATTTACCACATGTATTTCTTCATCCTGTCTTTATTTTAAAATTCTGAACACTGTATCTTGTGAGGGCATTCTGCATGTAATAAACTCTGAAAATTCTTTGGTGCCATTGGCACAGTGTACTATGTAAATCAAAGATACCATAGCCATTAGTACGACCACCTTATTTAACAGAAAGCATAATGTAGGATGAACTAGCAGTAAGTGAAAGAAAACTTGACTCTCAGAATGTTTATTCATTACCACTTGTTCATGCAATGGTGTTCTATAAAGGAAAGAGATTTTTCCTTCTCTTAAGGCTGAGAAACAATTGTATAACTTTTTTGAGCCACTGATCATTTTCTTCTTTTGAAGGATGGATAAAGGACTTTGTTGAAATCCAGTTGATGCCAATGAAATGTTGCAGATTTTTTCCAGTTTGGGATTTTGAGATCAGTTGTCTTTACAATTTTAAGGTCTGTGTTCATAGGTATGCATATAAAAGTCAATACAAAATTGTTGATATTATTCATTATTCTGACTTCTTGGTATTTAAGGTGTCTGATCACCTGTTGTCAAATCATTATTAATGGGACTCATAAATTGACAATTGGCCATTCAACATTTCATTCCTTAACTGCCATGATGGAAAATGAAAGGGAGAAACTTCCTAGAGTTCTATTTTTATTTTAATTTCTATGAGTGTCTTTGAATATCAACTCACAGAAATAAGACAATCCAATTTGTCCCATAGACACATATGGGTAGAGACACACTCATGGCGACTCAAGAGTGAGAGAAAAAGCAAAAACAGCAAGACCCCTCCACACTTACTTACCAGGCAAGTAGCCACACAGTCTCTCCATTGAGGCCTCCACTGTAGAGTTGTGAACTTGAGCCAGTTGTGTGATCACAGACAGCACCAGCACACACCCTACAAGGAGCAGAAACACAGGTGAGTAATGCCTCACAGGAAGCTGGGTTAGGGTGTCAGGGAAAGAAAGTGTGCATATATTTTTGATGACAAAAGCCTCATCAAAACAAGCTTTTCTTTGCCTTTGCCTTTAAGAATCTTCTGTGTGCATAAATTGTCATGGAATGGAAAGGTCTATGAGAGGATTGTGGATTTTTGGGGTCAGAAAGTGGGTAGTCAAGCCAATTTTGTGACTTGTGATCTTGTTAGGGATAATTTAGATTTAAAGGGGAATAATTTAGTTTTCCTTGATTTCTATATCTTCTTAGTCATGTGGGAGGAAGCGAGGATGTTTAAACGGGATAGTGCAAATAAAGTAACCTATTCAGAATAGGAGCTAGATACTAGCTTTTATTTTCTCCATTTTTCTTCCCTTCAGCAGTATTTGGCTTAATTATGAATAGGATCATTCCCATCACACATAAATTCCTGTGACCCAGGGTTAGATTTTTAATTTTGGAACAGTCTGTGGTGGAAAATTTCTGAAAGACTCACCATGGTCACTCACTGACCTTGTAACTTTGGACTGACTATCCAGCCTTCCTGAACCTTGGTTTCCTCCTTATAAAGCAAGAAGTGATGTATTTCCCATACAGACATTTATGATGATTCAATGCAAAAATAATTCAATGGCATGTGTCTTTGAAATCACTTCAAATGGTAAAATATTATTTTACCTCAAACTACAAAGCATATTATTGAAAACAAGTACCAATACAGTAAGTCTAAAAGGAAATTTGGATTACATTGGGAATATATTCCTTCACCTCATTTGGTATGTGATAAATTTGCATGCACAGACTGGTAGGCTGAAATTTCCAGAAGTTTCTATTTATGCTTTGACCTATGGAATAGATGGGAAAGCCCATGTCTGTTTTCCAAAGGTAAGGAGTACTTTTCTCTATACAAATTTCTGTAAGTATGTGAGAGGAAGTCGTTATAGCCTGTTGAGATAAAAGAAGTAAGCACTTGTCACAGATTTATAAAAAGGCAAAGGAAGAAGCTCCATCATGCAGAAGTTCAGTAGAAAGTTTATGAATACAGGAAGTTCCAAATGCTTGATCCAGCTGTGGATTCATTATTGTCCATCTTCTCAAGGAGTTGAAGACCTCATTTGTGTACACTTCATCAAAATCAAACTCACACCAAGACCCTGATACCTCATACCAAATGCAAACAGTGCAACCTGGCATTTCTATGAACTTCAAGCTAAAATATTACCAGAAAAGGCAAAGAAGGTCATTACATGTTAGTTAATGTAACAATTCAACAGGATGAAATAGCAACTATAAATATATATGCAATGAATACCAGTGCACCTAATTTCATAAAACAAACACTACTGAACATAAAAGATCTAATAAACAGCGACACAATCACAGGTGGCCTCAATATTAGTTTTTACAAATAGATCAAGAAAGCAAAAAACTAACAAAGAAATATCAGAGCTGAACCACATATTTGAACACATAGACTTAATAGATATCTATAGTGTTGTGCCCTATTGTAACAGAATATACATTCTTCTCAGAGCACACAAAACTTTCTCCAAGATAGACATATTTGTCCATAATGCCTGCTTAAATAAATACAAAATAATGAAAGCATTCCACATATGCTATCAGATCACAGAACACTGAAACCAGAACTCAATTGCAACCAAACAAAACAAAAACATAGAAGTTTTACAAACACCAGGACATTAAATAACACACTCCTAACCACTCAGTAGGTCACAGAAGAAATAAAGGAAGGAAGCTAAACAAATTCTAAAATCAAAAATAATTCCAGCACAATACACAGAACTATAGGACACGATGAATAGAATACTAACAGGGAAGGTTTTCACTGTGAATGCTCAAAATAGAAAAACAGAGCAAGCCCAAATAACAGTGAAGCACCTCTAACTAGAAAACTACTAGTAGAAAAACAGGAACACTGCAAACCTAAACCTAGCACAGGGAAGGAAAATATAAAGATCAAAGAGTAAATTAAGAAAATTAAGACTAAAAATTACAAATAATCAGTGAATAATAGAAGTAGTTCTTTAAAAGAATAATCAAAATAGACAATCTTTTAACCCAACTTACCAAAATAAGGAAAGAGAAGACTCACATCAATGCAATTAGAAATAAAAAAGGTGAAATGACAATGGTCACCATGGAAATCCAGAAGAGTATCAGTAACTACTTTGAAAAATTATACTTCAATAAATTGAATAATATTCAAGAAATAGAAAGATTACTAGACACATTATAATTACCAAAACTGAGCCAAGGAGACATAAAATCTCTGAGCAGTCCAATGGCAGGTAACAAAATTTATGCTATAATAAAAATTCCAACCAACTAAGAAACTCCAAGACTTGGATTTCCATGGAAAAATCTAGGTAAGACTACATGAGTAGCTAGAGCAACTCTGGCAGTTTCTGTCTTTTCTGCTTCTCAGGGTCTAACGTCATATATAGATTGCCTGAATATCAGAAAAGTCGTCCAATGTTTCTTTTAATGAAAGAAGCACATATCGAATCAACAGTCTCAAGAAACTTGCCAAGAAACTGCTAGCCTTTGGCGACTTCAGGCAAACAGAATATAACTAACCCCTGTCCGCAGGGAGTTCCTACCATGCTTCTCAAATGCACACAAACTGTATGGTAAATGTCCGTCAAATATCTGGCACAGAGATTTCTCAGAGACTGGAAGAATGGGTCAGAGAACATGCATTTATTCCAAGATCTGGTGGCCTGAAAGAGCTAGGCACATTTCTCCATAATTTTCACAACTTAATAAGTGGCAAATTTTCTTTCTTCTTAGTGCCTAAATGGTAGTTTAAAAAATAATAATTATTGGCATCACAGACTGGATGAGATACCAGAACAGGGAAGCTACAATTAATCTGGAGTAGCAGGAATATTGGGTGAGCAATAACAGAGCCACTGAATGTGCCTCTTGGAATTTGACCTTAAGGATTATCCATTCCAGCGACACTCGGCTGGCTAGTTTCCTTCCCTGAAACTTAACTCGAACAGCACATATTTGCATGTTTTAATCCATGGCTTAGAAGGATGAATGCAAAAAGAATTGGTCTGCTGGAGACCAACCTGTGTCTTTGTACTTACATTTTTTTTTCGAGTTTTACTCAGAGAAATCCCATCAAAGACTTGGGACTGCAGTTACCTTGCACTGCTGGCTAAAACTGGAAAATCATTAGGCAGATAAAAAGGAGCCACAAAGAGGCCAGCTGCCTCTGAAGACCAGGTGAATCTTACCAGTCTCCCTTTACCTGGTGAAGAGTTATTATGATCAAAAGACCCCTGCAGGAAAGCAGGTAACTGGGTTTGAAATTGTGGACGCCCACGTTGGGCTCAGCTTTGATGGGAGCCCATCTCCGCCCGGCTCTAGTGAGCTCGACTCCCCTTTTTGTGGGATTGTCATTGGAGGGTCCACAGTGAGGAGTGTGTTGGATCCTTTAGCAGCAAGAATGGAGGAACTGACTTTTCTGTGGTATCTAATAAGAGGTTTCACTGCCTTGAGAAGCTAACAAATGTTTTCCTCGGGAGAGACACATTGGTTGAGCAGTCCCTCCATCTTCAGATGATTTTTGGCTGCTAATAAAAGGTCTGGCTCTGTTGAAGGGAGTTTGTCCAGGCTGTCATTCATTTCAGGAAGCGAGGAAGCAGCAAGAATTGTATATTTTGCTCAGCAGTCATCACCTGAAATCTCACATATGGCAAATCTCTTCTCACCTGGCATCTGCAGATCATAAGTGTAATAGAAACAGACACTCCTGATGATGTAGGGACAGAAGCAAATGGGCCTGAATATGAGTACCTGCCATGGTGATCCGCTTCTGGCCACCCACCTCAGGTCGGCTGCAGACTCTACAGTGGAATCCTTTTGAAATGAGACAGAACTCTTGAAATGAATCAAAATCCTATCTGTGCCACTGGAAACGCAGCAGCTGTGGCGAGCCATGTACAACTCCCACACTTCACAAGCCTCTAAAGCACCTGTAGTCCTCAGAGCCAGTCTGCGTGACTGCGCTTCCTTTTTGACCCTGAGAAGGGACATAAATAATTCATCACCTTGCTGGATTGTGTGCTATGGTTTCCAAAGAGTTTCTGCATATATTATTCTCTCATCAAACCTCACTTGGAGATGTAGGAATAATTAATCTCATTTTAAAGATGAGCACATGGAAGCTTAGTGCGTATGTCTCACTGAGCTTGAGTTTATGCAGCCGTGAGCAGGGGGCTGCGACCTGTACATGGTATTGGGGAAAACAAAAGGAAATGAGAAAGGCATGGTAACAATCCCCTAAATGTTACCTATTGGAAGCCCTGTTTCTCCAAGAAGCCAGGTAAGGAGAAGAGCTGGTGGCACACATTCTGCTTGTGAATCATGGGGTACCTTTTCCTTCTGCATCCATCTGTTTCATTCCAGACATGGACAGGGAGAAGCAGGGCAAGAGAAGGAAAGAGAATGGAAGGGAGAACAGTGAGTCTTTCTGAGCTGCTGAGGTATGGTGTTGAGCAGAAAGTAGTCATCAGAGAGACCTGGGCTCGAATTCTGGTCCTCTTCCTTACGAGCTTGGAACATTTTTCAGAATTGCTAATCTGTGACCCTCTCTTCTGCCATCCTCAGAATATGATGCTCATTCTTCCTGTGCAGAGCATTAGAATTATCCACAGGGATTTTGCACCTCCTCTCACAAAAGGGGCATCGTCTTGTCCCAGCCCCTTGAATCTGGCTACATCACCGGCTTTGAGCAAAATATGCCAGAAGTAACTGTGTGGGTTCAGAACCAGCACTCAGGGGGGGTTTGAAGCTTTTAATTCTACCCTAACATTACAGTCATGAGCCTATCTTTAGACGCCCCATGAAGGGAAACTGAAGCATTCCAGCCAATTGTCTTCCAACTGCCAGATTTGTGAGTGAGGTCAGTCCAGGTCACCCATCCCC